TGGGTGGCTTTGAAATGTGGTAATTTCTATACCTTATAACCAACCCTATTCCTCATATCTTGATATTTGAATTAATTCCAGAGGCAAAAGTATAAAAAAATTCTAGCAAGAAACTGTTCATGAGAATAAGTTGCCATTGTGATGGTGATAGAATAATTTCTAAGACAACACACTGGTGCATATCTAGTACATCTTATAAAACTCTGACTGTGTTCTAGGTGGTTAGCAGTCCTGACCCTCAGTGTCATCTAAATAAAAGATATAAAGTTACATAAAAGGGAAATATTTTTAGTGCTTAATGAATCATTTGAGGATTTTCTTTAAATCATATACAGATTTGACTGACAGAAGTTTATGTATTGGAATAAAAAATTACTCTGTTCCCTTGTCTTTTAAAATTAGACTATTCATATCCTACTAAGTTGAATATTGCTAGAGAAATAGACTAGATGTTTCCTCTCATCAATGTTTTGCCCTTATATCCATCCACAGACAAAGGAAGAGCTTTTTTTCCTCCGTGCTGTGTCGTGGCTGTAGCCTGCCATGACATAAGTGAACTTGTTCTTGGACTGAGGATTCAGTTCTGGGCTCGCGGTGACCTAACAATTTAATATCGAAAATTTTTGTTTAGTGTCCCTTTATCTCTTCCATCTCTAGATCCCTCTCCCCCAAATAAGCAAAACCAGTCAACTCTACATTACTTTCTCAGGTGAGATGCTTTGATGTGAAGAAAGGGCTCAGGTAAAACCATTTATCTGATGGTTGATTCCACTACCAAAATAATATTTTAAAAGTCATCCTGCAGCGCCATATAGAACTGAGTACAAGACTTCTACTAATAATTACCAGTTCCAACGAAATAATAAAAGGAAGTCTTTATTTATAGTACTTAGATGTAAGTATTTTAAGAGTTTTATACTTTTTCTGAACCTAGTAAAACTGGTTAATGAGTTACATTATTTGGAGTTACTCATCTTTTAATTAGTAGTATCTCCAGTTGTACAGTTAGGAAATCAATACTTATAATAATACCTTGCATCTCACTTAACAGTAAATCTTATTATCCTCATTTTGTAAATAACATTTACTAACATCAAGGATTAAAGGTCACTGAACTCTGGTTACAAATGGGAAAGCCTACAGCAATTTGACTCAGCAACTACAAAATATAATGGGAAGGGTAGGAGAACAGTTGTACACCCCAGTGAAATTTTTCATTCACACAGTGCCCCAGTGTGAATTGTTCAGGATATTCATATTTGCCTAACAGGCTGTTCCCCCCCCCCATTTTATTTTGTGGTAGTGCCTAATGACTTTTATGACCCTTAATTCATTTTGATACCATTTATTTGACATAGCAAGGGGGTCTAGACTTTATATCTATACCTCTCAAACAATTATGTAAAAGGACCATATTTTTCCCCTCTTAAGTCTTGAGGTAATACTTTAATGAAATGAAATAAAAATAAATTTCTAAAATGAAATCACACCTTTACTAGTTATGTTAGTATCAAATTGTCCATGATGGTTCCCAAATGGTTGCTTTCAGTTACTTGCAAACTGGTTAATAAAAGAAAACCCTCAGATTGACACCAGTCCTTATATAGTATATAGATAGATAGGCCTCGGTGGAAAGTCTTAACAGAGGAATCCTAAGTAAGCCTCTATTTGAAAATCACAGACCAGATCATACTTATTTCTATCACAAATATATTTTTTGGGGGAAAAAAATATTTCCCTTTGATGATTTCTTACTCCCTTCAATCAGTTTATCCAAAAATGTGCTAAAACTGATAGCCATAACTAGCATTGAACTTGTAGACTCCTAAATTACATTAAAAAATCAATTTTGTTCCTTGCTGCATTTATGAACATGACTCAGTATTACATTATCTCTGATTTAAGTGATGGCTTTTTTGGAAAGAACTTCTGTGGCACTTCATATTGCCTGGATCAAGGGTTAAAGATCAGGGGGCTCCAGTTTGAGTATATAATACAGGTATTTGTCTTATTCCCAGGCACATTTGTTTGCAAAGATGTTTTGTTGCCCTTCTAAGTATAAATAGCTGCTTCTTTTACAACTCCAGATAAAGCTTCTTTTGTGATTCAAGCTACCAACAAAGTTCTAAACATTTGCCTGGACCTCTTTCACCAGAACTAGTATAGTTTAATTTCAACAAAGACAGCTACTCAGGCTTAAAGAGGGTCTGAAGATAGTGGTTTTCAAAATAGCAGCAAGCAGTGTGGTGGACATGGAGAAAAGAAGTCATACAGAACTGCTGTGTACTAATGGGAGAGGGGAGCCAGGTGGCTTTGATCAGTTTCTATGGTTTCAGAAGCTGATGGTCAATGGCTGTGTAAGTACGATATTGTCTTGTTGCTACCTGGAAGGAACCTGAGGAAAAAATGACTCGATACTGCTTGGGTTGAGGTTTGTCCTTGGAAAAAAAAAAAGAAAAAGACCCATAGGGAAAGGCTCTTATAAACGAGCTACCGAGAGAATCAACTTATTAGTAAAAGAAAAATGGTGTAGAAGAAGATATTAATAGTAATCTAGAGCAACAAACACAGTGTGCTCACCTGTGGAGTGGCAGCATAGAATGTTCACTTTCCACAGTGAACTTGGAGTCAATTTCTGTATTAAATCCTGGACCTCAAGTCAGCATCTTGGCAAAACTTAAGCTGTTTCACTTCTCTTTACCTCTGTTTCTCATATATTTAACATTTTCTGAGCTCTGGAAGCTATTATAAGGTTCAAATGAGATAATCTATATAAAATCAAAATTTATTTCTTTTTACCTACAATATCAACAACCCCATCACCCCTCACCTTTCCCTACTCTTAAAAAAAAAAAAATTTAAGGGAGACCAATAATTGTGAGTGATATTTTTTAAAATATGGTTATTTATGGGACTCCGGGATCCTCCAGATACCATGTACACATATCATCATTTGACTATTCTAAGCAGTCATTGTATGAGATTATTTGATCTGAGCTCAAATTTTGTCAGTAAGATGAAGACATCTGTGTTTGACAGTTTGCATAGGCACATACACACCCACAAATACTACTTTTTGTGAAATGACAGAAGTCTTGGAGTGAGCTTTAGAAGAAATAGTACATACCAGAACTTTTTTTGTAAAGTAATTTAAGTAAGTGACAAATAACTCCTGACAATCAAACGAATTGTGATGATTCACACCCACTCACCCACTTGTGGTCCAGAGAGAATTTTATATTGTAGAATTATGGGAAAGAATTTTCCATTGCCAACATAGTTTCCTTTATCCTACATCCCCTAATATAACATCTTTCATAAGCATAGTACAGTTGTTGAAACCAAGAAATTAAGATTGAAACCATAATATTAAGTGGGCTAGAAATTTTATTCAAAATTTTCCCCTAATATCCTTTTTCTGGTATAGGATATCACATGATATTTATTTGTCCTGTCTTCTTAGTTGCCTCCAATCTTTAACCATTCTTTGACCCTTTAAAAAACAATAATCAACCCTTAACATTACTTATTGAAAACTACTAGCCACTATTTTGTAGAATGACCTTCAATTTTGGTTGATCTGATGTTTTTCTCATGATTGAAGGTCTGAATTTTTGTCCACAAAGGGGATGATTTGTCCCTCTCAGTACTATAGACCAGTAAGTTCATGGTGATATTTATTTATGCCTAATGATACTAACTTTGATCATTTGGTTAATGTGGTATCTGGTAGCTCAGACCATTGTGAAAGTTACAGATTTTCTCTTTGTATGTAATAAGTAGCTTACTTTGTTTTTTGAAAAGATTTGGTGCTATCTTAAATTCACAGTCAGGATTAGAACAGTGTGTTTCCCAGAGGCTTGCCAAGTGTCCTGTCCTGGTGGGAAGAAGCTGTGCCCTAGCAAGTGATAGAGTCATTATTTCAGTGTTTGAATAGATATCCCTCAATCCATGCTGAAATGGATTACCTGACATTACAGTGCAGGATTTTTTAAGTCCTACCTCCAGGCAAATCTCATAGTTACCAGCAAAAATGAAAGTGTGAAATGCTTTTTAATGTATATTTAACAACACTAGTCTGGTGATTACTGATGTGTATTCTCTCTGGACTCTCTTTGCCATCAGAGGAGGATGTTAAGAGACACTTTTACACATTTATTCAATCTAAATCCATCATATGTTTACTTTCTAAATATCTGTAACTGTCATTGGTAACAAGACCATAAGAAATCAAACACTTTAAGTCTAACTCAAACTTCGAATCATAGGATTACAATCAATTTTTAGAGAAAGTGCTGTTAGTTTTTTTCTTACTTTCCTTTATGAAATTGCTTGCTATTAAATGACACAAAACTATAGTCATTGAAAAAAGAAGAAAAAATACAGCTTGGTCCTGGGGAGCACGATAGGTGATGCTATTTGATGCATCCTTTTGATTCGGAAATTTATGTAATAGCTCATACTTAAAGGAATTTTCAACCTTGAGTCCAGTATCTGCTTGAGTTCATGTCTGCTTTTGTAGAAGTAAATTTTGCCAAATGTACTTAATTCCTTCTTACAGTGTCACTGTTTAATAAAGATTAAGGTACCTTTTTTTTTTTGCATTTAGAGGGGGTTGCACAGCAAGAGCTCATCTCTTATACTAATATGTGCTAAATAGTTGCATAGTATATATAGACCGTTGTTGTTAAAATAGCAATAACGAAGGCATTTTAGATCACAGGGCCCCCGTGGTCTACATTTTGTTTGCTTTGACATTATTAAACTCAATCTGTTTCTCTAACTGTGACTCTAATTACTACATTTGCATGGCAGAAAAGTTTGCTTTGTGGGTCGACTTTTATTAACAGTGCTTGCATGTTTTCTTCTACTTCTCTCTGCCGAGCCCTCATGTTCTCTGTTTCATGAGCAGAAAGAACACCTTCAGTCACATTGAATAATTATGCACAATCAATAAGTTTTTGTGTTTGTCTTTGTTGTTTCTTTGATGTGGCCTCTAGGATGCTGCCGGCAAGGTGTTGGACCGCTGGGCTATCATGTCTCGAGAAGAGGAAATCATCACCCTTCAGCAGTTTCTGCGATTTGGAGAAACCAAATCCATTGTGGAGCTGATGGCAATTCAAGAGAAAGAAGGGCAGGCTGTAGCTGTACCATCTTCAAAGACAGACTCAGACATCAGGACTTTCATTGAGAGCAATAATCGCACCAGGAGTCCCAGTCTTCTTGCTCACCTAGAGAATAGCAACCCTTCCAGCATCCATCACTTTGAAAACATCCCAAACAGCCTCGCATTTCTGCTTCCATTCCAGTACATAAACCCAGTCTCAGCCCCACTGCTTGGATTGCCTCCCAATGGGCTACTCTTAGAGCAACCAGGACTGAGGCTACGGGAACCAAGCCTTTCAACCCAGAATGAATATAATGAGAGCAGTGAATCTGAAGTGTCTCCCACACCTTATAAAAGTGATCAGACACCCAATAGGAATGCCCTAACCAGCATTACTAATGTGGAACCCAAGACCGAGCCAGCCTGTGTGTCCCCCATTCAGAATTCTGCTCCAGTTAGTGATCTGACCAAAACTGAACACCCAAAAAGCTCATTCCGGATTCACCGGATGAGAAGGATGGGGTCAGCCTCTAGGAAAGGAAGAGTGTTCTGTAACGCATGTGGGAAGACATTCTATGACAAGGGTACTCTCAAAATTCATTACAATGCTGTTCACCTGAAGATTAAACATCGATGCACCATAGAAGGTTGCAATATGGTCTTTAGTTCCCTCCGAAGCCGTAATCGCCACAGTGCAAACCCTAACCCTCGCCTTCACATGCCTATGCTACGGAATAACCGAGACAAAGATTTGATTCGGGCTACGTCAGGAGCCGCCACCCCTGTCATAGCAAGTACAAAATCAAACCTAACACTCACAAGCCCTGGCCGGCCTCCGATGGGTTTTACCACTCCCCCACTAGACCCTGTCTTACAGAATCCTCTCCCTAGCCAGCTGGTATTTTCTGGGCTAAAGACTGTCCAACCAGTTCCTCCATTTTATAGAAGTTTACTCACTCCAGGGGAAATGGTCAGTCCTCCAACCTCTCTCCCAACCAGTCCCATCATTCCAACCAGTGGTACTATAGAGCAGCATCCCCCACCACCCTCTGAGCCAGCAGCACCAGTCATGATGATGGCTGCTCACGAGCCCAGTGCCGACCTGGCACCCAAGAAGAAGCCCAGGAAGTCCAGCATGCCTGTGAAGATAGAGAAGGAGATTATAGACACCGCTGATGAGTTTGATGACGAAGATGATGACCCTAATGATGGTGGAGCCGTAGTCAATGACATGAGCCACGACAATCATTGCCACTCCCAAGAGGAGATGAGCCCAGGCATGTCTGTGAAGGACTTTTCTAAGCATAGCAGGACCCGGTGCATTTCAAGGACTGAAATAAGAAGGGCTGACAGCATGACATCTGAGGACCAAGAGCCTGAGCGAGACTATGAGAACGAGTCTGAGTCCTCAGAGCCCAAACTCGGTGAGGAATCCATGGAAGGGGATGAGCACATTCACAGTGAAGTGAGTGAAAAGGTCTTGATGAACAGTGAGAGGCCAGATGAGAACCACAGTGAGCCCTCTCACCAAGACGTCATCAAGGTGAAAGAAGAATTTACAGATCCCACTTACGACATGTTTTACATGAGCCAGTATGGACTGTACAATGGTGGGGGCGCCAGCATGACTGCCCTGCATGAAAGTTTCACATCTTCTCTGAATTATGGCAGCCCTCAAAAGTTCTCCCCAGAAGGTGATCTGTGTTCTAGCCCAGACCCCAAAATCTGTTATGTGTGCAAGAAGAGTTTCAAAAGCTCCTACAGTGTGAAACTTCACTACAGGAACGTTCACTTAAAAGAGATGCATGTCTGCACGGTGGCTGGCTGCAATGCTGCCTTCCCCTCTCGCCGAAGCAGAGACAGGTCAGTAAATCTCCATTGGCTGCTACTGCTGGGGGTGGAGGGTGCCAGTTTCAGTCATGTTGTACTTAAACATTAAGAAATCCAACTTAGATGTTTTTGATGCATTGTAAAGATTGTCTGCAGTGACCACATGATAATCAAGCTGCCATGCTCATGAAGGATTGTTGCAGTTGGTGCTTGTTATGATTAAGCATGCAGAATCATATGCCATCTTACCCAGTAGTGCACGCCATTTTTCTCTGTGCTCTGTGTATGTGTGTGTGTATGTTTTCCCATGCATTAAGGTGTGAGTAAGTTACCCGCGTACACAGTTCCCTGCTTTCCCATGAACCTTCACTTAGAAGCCGCAGCTTCTGTTATATATATTTATATTTCTGCTTTGCCATGTGGCTTTTTAATTAAATCAATATATTATCTTCATACACACATATTTATCCAATATAGAAACAGAAATTTACGGATGGAAAGAACCATAGGTCCAGGACATCGAGACAGCCTGCATCTCCGTAGGTATAACCAGAAATGTTATCATTCTTACATGAGTATTTAGTGTGTCCTTAAATTCTTTAAGAGTCATGAAAATATCACTAGAAAATGAGCCCAGATAACTGTTGATATGGGGAAATGGTATGGTGGTGTGGGTGTCTTTATTTTAACTTTACAATGTCTGAGCACTTCTCTAAATATAGTCTATTGTGGGAATTGTGCACGGAAAGGAAGGCTTGCATATACTTTTAAGATCAGTTGAATACATTGTGTCCAACCTTCAGATGACATAACACCTCAGCTATGTAGTTGCTGTTCTAAAACAGTTGGGCTTAAACAGAAGCAGCTGGTTCTAAACCTACAAAGTTCTTTTTCAATTCTAAAGAAAATGTAATATAAATGGAATGTGTCAAGGTGGCCACTGGTGGGGTAACGCAGCTCTCCAACACTTGCAAAGAGAAGCTGGTGAGCAGATCATTTACACCACACACCAGCCCGTCTCACACACCAGTTAGTTCTGCTTTGTCAGAGGTGTGGTTTTATTTTTATGTTGTCTTTTTAAAATATTTTTAGAGAAAATTTTATCACATGGCATAAAGTTCAATATATGTTGAAGCAACAAGTATAGGAAATTTTCCCCAAAACCACCACCAACATTGTAGTGCTTATTCATTTGGGTAGAGTTCTTTGACAGAGTAACACATAATAAAAGTAACACTGAGAGTAAGTGGCCTATCATTAGAATATTGCTTTTCTTTATGTTGTAAAGATCATCTTAAGTAAAAGTTACATTTATTTCCATTTGTACCAGAATACAAGGGGCCTAATTGTGAAAAGTAAAGTTTCTTAGAAGAGTAAGTCACTTTCACTATCCAATTCAAAAGATGCTTTGAAGTGAAATCTGTAACAATAAAGATTTTCCTTCTCCCATTTCCATGCCCTCTCCCATTTACCATACTCTTGAGAAAATGTTTTCTGTTCGCAAGTTTTATTGACATAGAATATGGCAGATATGATAACTATACTTTGAATAATAAAATTTAACATTTATTCAACCTCCCCATCCAACCTCCCCATTATCACATTGTGATAATGTGATAATGAGGTTAATGCATTGATTTTTTTAACAAAAACAAAAGACTCATGAAAACCTGCATAAAATATTTATGGAAATGGAATGTTTGAAGACAAGCCAAAATTTAAGCTTATTTGCATGAATTCCTATCAGTTTTAGTTGGTTTGCTGAAATTAATCACAAATCACAACATGGAAATAAATGACTCTGAGATCAAAAGATACAGCACCTGAAGTTTGGTGTTTTTACTTATGTCAGACCATGAGAAAACACAAGCACTTATGCTTCTATGTCCTCATGCACAAGGAGATATTGTTTCGTAAGTGGTTTATCTGAGGGTAAATACTCACTGATAACTGAAGAAAACTTCAGTCACCATTTTTGTATTATGACTTGGAACCATGGTAGGTGACCAGCCATGTAAAAGATTAGCCCAGTATCTAGGATAAGTTGGATACTTTAGGGTGGAAGAATAGTACAGATAGTCTCCCATGTGGATTGAGATACGTAGGAGACTGTAAACCTCACAAGATAGGTGATGCTTTTCATTTTGGTGAAATATCCCATCACACCTGATCTTTTTATTCTGGACTTGTCACATATGATAAATGAAGAAAAGCACATTTAAAAAGTAATGTGGTAAGAAAGTATTTTAATTCTTACCTGAAATTTGCTTTCCTGATCCAGTTTCAACATTTAACAAAAGCTCTGATCCTTTATAATTTTGACCTGTTTTACTTAAGAAGAAAATGTTTGTTTTTGTTGATTCTATGCCTTTATACATGGCACAAGTTTAACTACTAACAGATAACCAGAAACAGTATTGCCACTGGTGCATCTTTTTGTACATCAACAGAGTAGGTGCAAACATTATTATAATAATAACATCCTATTATTGCCGTTCCATCAGCTAATGCCAATCAGTAATGTAGCCTCCTTATTTACAAGGCCTCTTGGATCACATCACTGATCTGCCCATTAAACTTACTTTCCCTTTTCTCTTCATTTCTGTTTATTTAATCACAGAACCCCAGGAATTTTGTATCTCTTCTTATCCCCCTCTTAAATTCATTGTGAAGCTAAGACAAGTTTTCTTACCTTTCTCTGAACAGACCTTCCCCAACAGAAGCCTTCTTTTGCCTTTAATCCTACAGTCCTCAGACCCATTTCTTTTTCTCCCAAAGTCTCTGTTCATCCATCCTTTCTCCCCAATGTCTTCCTTGTGCAAATAAAGCATTACAAGGGATTTTGAGTGGGGGTAAGGATGCAGGGTGTCTAGGATGCCTGTGATAAAATAGAATAACCCACTTCCTCTGTTTCTAAAAGCAGCTTTCTTGTCTTAGGTTTGCAACACCTCACAGAAGTGATACACAGGTCTTGCTGGGCTTCTCTCTAGATGCTCATATAGGAAGGAGTTGAATTTTTGGTCTGCAGATAGACACAATAGATCGTAAGATCAGATAGAAAGATGTTAAATACTATTTTAGATCTGGCGGTTGATTAACAGAAGTTTCCAAGTGTTTGCTTATGGTCTTTCTAGATTTTATAAAATCAAGGTGAAAATTTTTTGAAAAGCAAGAATGTTGTCTAAAAAAGGAAAAAAGTTGAAGAGGGGCTGACACATGCAAAGTTTACAAAGGCTGAGAATTATAGGCTCAGTATGGAAGGTGTCCCTTTCTGTTCAATTGCAAATGAGTGTGAGTTTAATAACTCTGAAAGCAAGAGAACCATTCTGTACTAATTTACAAAAAGCAAGGTGAAATTGCACAAAAGTCCATTTCATCCAGTTACTAGGTGGCCTCTAGAATAATTTTTATTCTGAATTATAGAAACAAAATGTAAATTATATTCTCTATAGAGATCTTGTGACTGTAAGATGGTAGTTAGAGTGTTTACGTGGGTGGTGATAACTTTGTGTGATGTTAGATCTCAACGTCGGCAACCTTCATTGCTTGTTTACTTTTTCTGCTACTTAAATGCTCATTTGTCAGGTACAAGAAGCTGGCTCTCGCTACTGAAGTATATATATAAAATAGTCACTGGGGAAGAGGAAATCCTACTTAACTATCCTAGAACTAACTTTCCTCATGAAGGAAACCTTCTTGAAAACAGTGTCATAGTCAGAATTAGCTGAGCCCAGTTCACCTTGGTCATTTCTTATTCTCTGTCTTGAATGTCCCCAACAGGGGTAAGCGGTCTTGGATCATCTGTATAGATGGGAAGCCCATTTATAAATTTCACTTGGTTTTTATTAAAAAATAATAACTGCCCTTCAGTCATCTTTCCTAATATTCCCTACTATTTACTAATTTGTTAAAATCTAGTTATAACTGTTTTTAGTGATTGGCAATTTTAAAAATCCCTCATTAAATTAGGACTTTGCACACAGCAGTTGGATTACCTGCATAGAAAGAAATACTTCTCATTGTTTTTCATCCTACATGAATTTCACTATCTTTGTTTCTCTCTTCCCCTGAAAACAATGGCCACTAATTGCCGAATTTTTTGTTAAATTTTATCAGAATGGTAAGACTGTGTGCTTGTTCTTCAAGGTGTGGAAAAGGTTTTTCAGCCCATGAATAAATTTTAAAACAAAATATTATTTGCTTAGGGTGACTTATAAATAAATATGAGGCAACTATTGGTGCCAAGTGTGAACCTTCTCTTTGATTGCTAAATCAGTTCAGATTTAAACATGTAAACTTCTTGATTTGTATGGAATAAGGCATCTGTATTTGGTTTATTAAAACCTGCTGATGTCTCCAGAACTAAATTTGTTCCTATATAGGCCTCTGGGTAGCTGTAGCTAAAAAGCAAAGATGTATAGTTTTTCTTGTCTGATTACCTGACTTCCAGCCCTGTACAGGTGTGCAGGAATAAATTAACATGAACTACCTCTGGTGAGCCACTGCATATATTAACAACAGAGGTGAAGATGTGAAAACATGCTACCTGCCTCCTGTTATCACCTTCTCAGAGTAGCAACATTCATTTTTTCCATCATTCTCTGTTTGGAAACTTACCGAGAACTTTTCTAAAGAGAGGTTTTCAATAAATACACATGATTTCATTAGGCACTACCTCCACGAAATGAGCCACTTAGCACCAATTCAAGATAACTATTAGTATATTTGCTCTAATATAATTAGCTGTCAAATACAGTGTGTTAATCCTTTCTGAATACAAGAACATTTTTAGACATCAGCTCTTTCATTTCCCATATTTGTATCAGTCAACTTTACTTTTGCAAAACTCTTTACCAAAGTGAAGTTGTGCCTGTCTGACTTTTAAATGTTAAGGAAGAGATCTTTTCCCGTTACTCTATTTGGTTTCATAACGGAGCCAGCAGATCAATAGGTCTTTTGTACTTATCTCCATTACTTTCCATCAGAGGCAAACAAACAAAATAAATCCTGCTTCTGAGTAATTGCTAGTTGTGCCCTCCTCAAGCAAAACTTTAGTAGTAAGATAAACTTCGATGTCATTCCTGTCTCTGGGGCTCTTTTTATGTACTGGGAGAAGAGCAATGAGCAAAACGGTCTCCTTGTATCGTGGGGAGAGACTCTGTCAAACCTAAAGTGAGCTTTGGAGCTTCCTAATGACCTCCTGCTGGCCCAGCTGGATGTAAGACAAGCTCATTTAAGCCTCTGCTGACCTTTCACTCCTTCACTACAAGAACTACACCAGCCACTTCCACTGTCTTCCAAACTGCTTACCAAACACACAGCAACACTTAATAGTGGGCAGGTGACTTCGTTTTCATAGTACAAAAGATTTAACAAATTTTTCTGGTGAGACTGAGACCAGAAATCTCCTGAGACTGCAGTAACCTCCATTGCATGAGCATAAACTCTTACTGTTTCTCTAACCCTTATTCTTGCATTCCTTAGAAAAGAACACACTTTTCCTTTTCCCTGCATCAGTTTGAAACTCCAAGCAAAAGCAGTATTTAGAGTAGCACGTACTAGTACGAAAGTAGTACTTTTCGTGATAGCGTCACTTTGAAAGGGTCATTTTCCTGTTTACTATCTCCTGGTTCAATGCCACCCAGAGCTCTCATTCTTTATATACCCATTTTTATAGATAATCTTAAAAAAACACCATTTCCTACTAGGAAGCAGATTATAAGCTTGCACACATGTTAATACTCCCTTATATCAATCCTGCTAAGGTTGGTTCTGTTTTAGGCTAACGTCTTCCCCAGCTCTCTGTCTCTTGCTCTAAGTGATCATTTGTTATTATGCTCAGAGGAAGGGAGACTTTTCCTCCTTTGTTGAAATTTCATTGTGAAGGTTAGGCTAAAAAGCATTTCTTTTCTTTTTTAAAAAGCCTTCTCAAATAATTTAATGTTTTTGCCTTAAGACTCCCCCACAAGCTTTAAATAAATGAATGTGGCAGAATATGAAAGGAGTTTATACTTGCCAAAACATTATAGTGTCATAAAAAAAGGATTTAGTAATTGATTCTTGAATGCCTCTCTGTGTGTGTGTGTAAGAGAGGAGAGAGAACAAGAACATAGGTGAAAGAACAGCAGACTGAGAAAGAAAGACTACTTTTTGGAAAAAAACAACTCGAGCTAGTTAACATAAAGCTGTACTTTTAAAAACAAAATACCTAGATTTTATATCCTAGTGCAATCTTCTTCAATTAAAACAAAATTTATAAATTCCTGGTAAAAAGCTGTTAGGCCTGAAGTGTTAGTGATCTTAACTCTAGTACTTTATGGAGTTTATTACTTCTTTTATTAACTAAGGGGGAAATTTTTACCCATTTCTAGTTTAATTCTTTTTCGTACTTGCTCTAATTATTTTGACTTTACCTTAGGAAAATAAAAAAAGCCAAGTGTTTGTAACTGAACCTATGTGATACCTCAATTTTGCTGTCACATATATCAATCTGAATTATTACCAGCTATTCAAAAAATTATGCTAACATTGTAATCTGAATGCATCCACATAATGTATATGTGTGTTTATACATAAACATGCACATAAATAAGAATATCAAAAGACAGATCATCCTTAATTGCCAGAGTAGACATCCACATCTTGGGAAATGATATATGAAGTTACTTTATCACAATGATGGGAACTAACAAGATTTTGTAAGTAAAAGGAGATAGATTTGGGAAATGAGAACAAGAGACCTTCAGAAGGAAGCCTCTCGGACCTGAGGGCCAGCAGAAAAGAGCCGCTCAACTCTGCTGCCTTTTTAGTCTGCTCTGTCACTGAGGGGGCACTGGTGGGTCAGTGCGCTCACTAGTAATTGTGTTTTACAGACTTCTAAAGCAATTGGCTCAGTCAGTCCCAATTCAATAAAAGTGGAGAGCAAGAGAGAGAGCACTTTTGTTCTATTTTTTACTTGAAATTATTTCATTCAGCAGTCTGTCTTTTTTATTACCAGGACTTGACATTAGCACTCCAAGCTATATTAGCATCCATTTCAGCAGTTCGGTAATGGTATTAAAAAAACACTTAACTTCAATGGTGAATGGTTGTATGACAGTGCCATAAAAAATCCACATTTAAAAAAAAAAAAACTTATGTATTTGTCCCAGCAAATTATTTTTCACTTGTTTAACCACTTCTTGTGATGGGTATTCATGAAGACCTTCTTGTTCTCAGAAGAAGCCAAATGTGGGGCTCTGTCAATTAGAAAATTGGAGAAAGAGGAAAAGGAAATCCAGTGAGGAGAGGGTAGGTAAAGATGCTGTTTACCCTGTAGATACATTACCTTCCATTCATCAGCAGAGATGGAATTGGCAATCTCAGAGCACCCACGGTGAAATTCTTGGATCCTCTTGCAAGGCTGGGATTTGATTTTGAACCCAACACTCTCCAAACTTGGGAGCAAAGCCTAACTACTTTGGCACTGCAGCATGCTCATAAATGACTACATTAGGTTCTAAATTTTGATTAAACATTCAGTAATTAATCAATGGTAGACATGAAACAGTTGGCAAGGTCCAGAGCTGCAAAATGTTTAAGACATAAAACATTACGAAGTAATTAGAATACGCTCCTTCAAGAGAAGGATTGCCTTCAGTAAAGAGGTAAATGATAGCATCCTGTTTATTGTGGACGTAGGCAGCCAGAGCAATATGATAAACTGCTGGAGATACACATATCAGTAATCATCCACATTATTAGTGCCATTAATCATAATTCCAAAAATATGACAGCAGCAGCCAACTTTTTGACCAATTTTGCTTCTGCCTGTTGGCCATTATAACTTCACTAATAGACTGCAGAGCTCCTGTGCGTGGCAGTTTGCATTGAGAATGGAAGGTTAATTATATTTGAGCTGCTGATTTCTTCTCTCCTTGGAAAAGGCTTAGCACTTTGATAATCCCAGGAGTTCACTGTTGTTAAACCAGTAAAAGTACTTTATTGAAATTTTCTTTGTTGGTCAGGAATGAGGAGATATTTCAAATGAGATATAAGCGCCAGGCTGGGATAGCTGCTAATGTTTGTTGCTCCAAAGTGATCCTTGGGCCGCAAGATGAGCTCCCTCATTCCTCTTCTGCACATGGGTAAACATTTTAGCACTATATGGTGATATACTAGAAAGTCCCACAAGACTAGTGGTCTCAGTATGTATCTGTAAACTAAGAGCTTGGGGAAGTAGTTAATAATACTGAGAGATGAAGCACCTCCTTGATAGAAAATTCTGCTTATTCACCTATGCATGTATGACTAAGATGTAAAAAGAACTTCACCAAAATCACCTGAATATAACTGAAATGTTTAATATTACTAGTGCATTGCTAGTTAGTTCAGTTTTCATGGTTTGGCTGGTAATTTTGATGTAACTTAACCAAAGGCATAATTACATTTTGAGTATTATGTTTGCTCTTATGTATTTTAAGATGTTTCATTTTCAGCAGAAAATTAATTTTACATAAAGCTGTAGCCGAATAACAGTGACTGTCCACAAAATTCTGGCCTCTCTCCTGAGTTAACTCAGATAAGTTAGTAATGTTATCTTTTTAAAAAATCATAAATTAACCATTTTAATGATGTAAAACTCATTTGAATATTTAATCTTGGAAAGCTTTTCCTTCCCAAAGATCTGAAAAACTATGTTTCATGTTCTATACATTATATGTATTTTAAATAACAGGAAATGTATCAGAAGAAAGTCATTCCTAGTCTACAAATACGTCTTAAATTCTTTCAGACTGTAAAACAAGTATAGAAGACTTAAGAGTTAATTTATCCAGGATAAATATAAAACTCACTTTTATAGTTCAGACATTTAAATCGTTAAAAGACGCTAGGGTTCATGGTTTTGCTTTTTCTTACCCAATGATAAAGTAAACTGAACACCATCTGAGCTGCCTGATTGAGAAAATTTCCAAATGCTGTGAAAACATAATTCTATTCACAGTGTAACACTTTCTCACATTACAGTGCAACAGGTACCTCTGGAATAATCAGCACCCAGGAGAAGCCTTCATGTGTTAGATACATCTCAAAAGTAAAATGGGTCAGGACCAGGGCTGCTGGATATCAGTTCTGCATTTAACCTGAGCATCCAGCATACACATTTTATCTACCGATCAGCTTTCCCAAATGCCATCACTACATTAACATTTGTTATGCATTCCATAGTAATGACAAATTGTTCTCTAACTGTAGTGCCAGATTTAGTATGCGAAAGACATGTTTGCCTCTGCCAACAAACCAATAATTCTCACTAACATCTTCAGAGTTACAACATTTATAAAGTTGCAAAGTGGAGTAAACAAACCATCTGTTTGACTTTTCCATATATGTCATGCTTTCTTATTAGCATATTACGATTCATTTAGTAAACAAATTTGGTGATTTTGTTCACGTCAAAGTTAGGTTGGAAGCTTGAAGATGATTAACATTCCTGGGACAGGCACATTAATACATTGCTTCCTCGGCAAAGTTAAATGGCTTCTCAGGAGAATCGCCCCTTGTTGACAAGATGAGACTGTCAATTTTGTTTGCCTGCCACATTAGGGGCCGTAAGGGGATGGCAGGCTCTGAGAGAGGGGAGTCATGTAGGCAGCATAATTCACTGTGAATTGAGAAAAGAAGTCTAATTCTGATAAATGGTCAACCCCAATACATCCTACCTGTTATTACAACAGACGTGCCGTATCTGTGCAGTAAATTAGCTAAACCCCTAAAGAGTTTGATGGGAGCTTATCTTCAAGTGAATAATTTGAATGTAGAGGGAATGGTCTGCGTGACCAGTATGGATGATTTGTTTTATATTGAAAAGGATTGAAGTGACTGAATTTTATACTTTTAATTTGCAAAAATTTGCTTTAGCCTTTATTTCTTGCATTTAGTATATAATTCATAACTTTTGGGTTATATTGAGCATTCTTCAGAAGAATTTTATATTGATAGTGTTCATAGCTGCTGGACAGCTAAAATATCTATATAATATAGCTTAAAGAACAACTGCTGGTTATGCAGAAATGTATACTATTAAGAATGTTTTTTAATTTACAGGACAGTAAGCATCCTACCATTAATAAATGAGAATACAGAAATTTTGAGGAGTTAAGTACAGTATCATAGTAATCAAGATAATATGGAACAGAGGCTTTAATTTTTCATTTCTAAAGATGTGGAATGCAAATTTACATTTCTATTCAAGAGTTTTGTTAACTTACTATCCCATGATATATTCAAACATGGTATCAAGATTCCTGAATGGGATATAATTTTATTTCTCTATCCCCATATATGTATACACACACAACTCTGTATACATATATTAGTATATAATTTCATAAAATCAGCTGTGTATATACATCACTGGTCATTTTGAATAATACACTGAGGTAGAGAGGCTTGTGTGTGTGCGTGTGTATGTGTAATAGCAGAAGTGAACAGAAAAATAAAAGCAACAACTAATTTAAATGAAACCTCAATTCCCTAGATTTAGATGACTCAGAACTGATTAAGAGTTCAAAGTTAGATGTCAGTCCTCTCATGTACCAATAGTTTCACTGTTCAGTTTGCTGCCACATATTTTTTAATTGTTAATTTTTTTTTATTTTATTTTTATAGATTAAATATTGTATGAAGTCAAATGGTGTTTGACCCAGGTGGGAAAGGGAAAAATTCAAGCCAAAGCTGGCTTTCTCTAAATGGCACTTAAATTTAATTTTGACTGTTTGGTTAATTTTGTGTCTTCTCTGGTCAGGTGGCATGGCAACATTTTCTTTCCTTTTTAAAAAAAGTTGAGGTATAATTGACATGAGTAATAGTTTCATTAAACAGTAAAAGACTAAGAGTACTTGAGTTCGGTATTTGAAGACTAAGTTTGGCTTTATGACATCCCCTATCCAAGACCCTACTTTTGCCTTTAAAGATTTTAGTCTTCAAGAGACTTTCAGTAAACTCACAATATGGAAGGAGTAGGAAAAATTGCAGAGGTCCTGAGGAAACAGTTGTGATTCCATGTATATCCCAAGGTATAGGATTGTTCCAGGCCTTAATTATATAGCATGTCCTTGCCACACTGGGGTGTTAACAGGTCATAATTGCCCTTTGCTATATTACCATTGCCTTTTCTTAAATATTCCATTGCATACCTCCAATCTTTAGAATCATTGTTTCCCCATCTTCAGTGTACTTTGGGGAAAGCTTCTTTGTGATTCATTCAGTGTAACTAAAGGCAAAAAAAAAAAAAAGGACTTATAAGTATCTCCTATGTGCCAAGTATTCTTGATTATGTTCATGTAAAATATAATCCATTTTATTGCAATCTATATTTGATTATGTTCATGTAAAATATAATCCATTTTATTGCAATCTATATTTTTGTTAATGATTCTACTCCAAAAACAAATATTGGGACATTAAGTGAATTTGCTAGGCTTAATCTCTGGAAAACTCATTTGGTTCCGCCTTGAACTCCTCCTTCCATTTATTACATACACTTACATGTTGCTTTCTAACTAAAGGGACCCTCCCATCTTCAGGAATCTCTGGTCTTCCTCCCATTTTATTCCTCTTCCCTTTACAAAGTCACTAGGTGTGAATTCTTTCTGTGTTTCAGCCATCTCTCCTTTATTCTTACCGCCTCAGTTGTGCTGATCCAAATAAAGTTGTAAATTGTGATAACCCTAGATCTCTCAATGTCTTCATGAAGACAATGCTTTATGACAGATAATGGTTCACACTGACTCATTCCAGTGTCCAACAGTATGTCATTGTTAAAATCAAATGTTGCCTTCTCTTCATTCTATGGGGTCTGAACCTTAACCTCTTGAGTGATAGGATCAGAAGTACTTGCTGTAAAGAATTTCAGTCTTCTTTCCTTCCTTCTCTTGCTTGTCCATTTCAACCCTAGCAATACTGTGCAAGTTTCTTAGAAAATCTCTAAGCCCACCATCATGAAAGTGAACAGCAGAATTTTCATACTCAATTTCCATGCCTACTTCAAGAGTTTTGCATATGGCACTTAGGAGGATTATTAAACAAAAATGAAATATATTAAAAAATGAACATAAAAGAATCAATTCTCTTCAACTGTGGTTGCATAATGGAAATCGACTACCATGAATGAACCCGTGTACTAAAGTTATGAACAGCAGAGCTAATGCACTGCCATGAGTTCATCTTTATTATTGCATTACACCTGAATCAATTGATAAAGTAGCTTTTTTTTTAAAGTGAGGGATGGCACTTAATTGAATAAAAGTCAATGTAATTATATTAGCAGAGGCCAACAGTACTGCTGACAGCGGAAAAGGGACACTGTTGAACAGAGTGCCAGAGCTGGTCTACACATTTCTGCACATCGTTTGGTTGACAGATATTGAGGGCTGGTACATCATCTAATTAGATTACAGATTTCTATTGCTGTAAGTGAGAAATGAAGAGAAACATCTCTTCCTGGTAACATATCAGTGGAGATGTGTCATTTCACAAGTCATCATAGGAAAGATGCGTCCATCTGGGTGATCAGTGTGTCCTTTTGTCTATGTTAATTTATTCTTCCCTATTCAGTGTGTCTTGATGTGACTGCTGTGTGTCTGGCTGCTGTTCTCTCAGCAATGAAATCTAGGAAGTGGTAACTACAGATGTGTGAGAAGCAACAGAGTTCTAGATTACAGTCATCACAAAATGTGCACTTGTGAAATTAAAAAGGGGAGAAGAGTGTTAAATATAATAACCGGGGTGGGGGGGCAGGGTTTTGTGAGTTGTTTATGGCTGGCAGATATTTTAATCAAGAGAGAAATTGAACATAGTGTAGCTCTTTTTCCACATTCTTGTAATAACTCTGGTGGTATCATGCCCACATGTCAGGGTAAAGACTTCACAGTAGGCATTATGCTTAACATCTTGCACTTGAATCATCTGCCATCTGAAACCAAAGAAATGGAAGCCACTGTGTCAGAGCAGGGGCCTTGGGAACAACTTCTGTTTATCATTCACATATCTGCACACTGCATGCATCTGTGTAGAGCTCATTTGTGGATGATGATGATGATGATGATACTGTGAATTTGGTTTATCTCAATTTGATTTATGATTTTTGGATTATGCAGCTGATCTGAAAATCATCAAGACAGCCTATGAGATGATCGCTTATGACAGAAAATGATTGTGTGATCAGAAAAGTTTAAATCCCTATTTTATTGTTTGTTTTTTTTAAACCAGATGTCTAGAATGTGAATTTGTTTTCTCTCTCTCTCTCTCTCTCTCTTTCTCTCTCTCTCTCTCTCTCTGTCTCATTCTTGCTTTCTTTTGTGATCGATTTAGCAAAAGATTAGAAAGCTGATCTTATTATCACAAGGTAAGCTCAGCCTTCCTAAGTGCAGTGTGGAGAGGGCTTTTGCCCTCTACCCCTAAGACCCGGAGTGCTGTATATTTTTGTCTTGTATGGAAAGGTGGGGAAGACTTTCCCACCTTTCTTGTCTCTAAGGCACATACCTCTCACCCAACTCTAGAAAATAGTAGTGATGCTTATCATCAGATGGAGTGACTCATTCCTGTATTTTTTATTTATAATCAAGAGATCTGTTGACTATTTTACTGGTCATACTAGGTCGTTTCTAGTATCACAATTTCTTCTCTAAGGTGTGGAGCTTCCACCATTACTGAGAAGCTTCTATGTATCTGCATATTTATTCATGAGTTTATTTGGGGGAAGGGCAACCTTCAATTTAGGTACTTCTCAAATATGTGAGCATTTGCCAGTGGAGAGAGGTATATGCCCAAGAGCACTTTAAAAGTAAATGGGGGATGTAAAACAAAGGCAATGTTTTCAGACAGATAACATATCAGACTTTGTAAATCATACTGTCCCTATGGATGCTCCGGGACAAATCCTATCACCCCCCCCCCCTTTTTTTTAAACACAAGCAAAGCATTCCATGAAAAGAGTAAGTTTTGCTTGTCTAAGAAGTATGGATTCCAGTTGGACATTCCAGGGACTGTATGTTATTATGTACTTAATTTTTTTGTGTGCTTACTGTGTGGGTTTGGTTTTGGGGGGAGGGAGCCCTTGCATTTTTTTTCTGTTGTCCAGTGTGATTTTTTTTTATATGGTGGGTGGTTTTAATTTTAAAAATAACTTGTTTTTCAGTGTTTGTTTTAAATAATTAAAATTACAAAGTTTAATTACTTGAAATGAAAAACATTTCCTACTCTAAATTGTAGCAACTTCTAAAAATAAGTGTAGTTTACTATTAGATTTAGCGAAGATCCCAAAATCACCCTGAGAAAATGAATTTATGTTAAAGACAAGGTGTAACCCTGCTTCAAATTGTTGGTCTATTGAGCAACATTCTTCCTAGCTGAAACTTGAAGTATAGGAAGTGAGGGGGGAAATTTCATTATTGTTTTAAGTTAAAACCTAAATTATCTAGACCATTTACTTTAAAAAAAAAAAAAACGGATCTTACCATTTTACTACAGCAAAAAGGGGTTTTGTTTTGAGGTAAATTGTAATTACTCAATTTAAACAAGCAGAAAATTTCCATTGTATTGTTCTCTCTAATATATATATTGTAAAATCTCTGTTATGAGATTCTCTGCAGCTAATGCTGCTACATAGTAAAATGAACAAAACAATCATTGAGAAAAACATGCATGGGTTTGCATTCATCCTGTCATTGAAGAATTTTACTCTCTTATAAAAATTATGTTAATGAAAAGCTGCCCTTATTAGACTCCCCACCACCACTTATTCCCAAATCCTGAGGATGTGGGGAAATGTTTGCTTTTATAATGGTGTAATTAGCAATGAATGTGCTTATTTGATGCCTCGTGAAAGCTGAATCAATTTTAAAATGCTCTCCTTTTTCTCACCCCTCCCTGCTCCCTGTGTACCTCCCCCCCCTTCCCTCTTGTTTTCCTAGACACAGTGCCAACATAAATCTGCATCGTAAACTGTTGACCAAAGAACTCGATGACATGGGCCTGGACTCATCGCAGCCCTCCCTTAGCAAGGACCTCCGGGATGAATTTTTGATGAAGATCTATGGTGCCCAGCACCCCATGGGGCTCGATGTCAGGGAAGACACCTCCTCTCCCGCGGGGACAGAAGACTCCCACCTGAACGGGTATGGCAGAGGCATGGCGGAGGACTACATGGTCCTTGACCTGAGCACCACCTCCAGCCTCCAGTCCAGCAGCAGCATCCATTCCTCCAGAGAATCCGATGCAGGCAGCGACGAGGGGATTCTTCTCGATGACATTGATGGGGCGAGTGACAGTGGGGAGTCAGCACACAAGGCTGAGGCCCCTGCCCTCCCTGGCAGCCTAGGGGCTGAAGTTTCAGGATCTCTGATGTTCAACAGCTTGTCCGGGAGCAATGGTGGGATCATGTGCAACATTTGCCACAAAATGTACAGCAACAAGGGGACCTTAAGAGTGCACTACAAAACTGTGCATTTGCGAGAAATGCACAAGTGCAAAGTCCCCGGTTGCAATATGATGTTTTCCTCTGTGCGAAGCCGAAATCGGCACAGTCAGAACCCTAATCTCCACAAAAACATTCCCTTCACTTCAGTAGATTAGTCTCAGAACGGACACTACAAATGCCAGCTCTCACCAGATGGCCTACATATTTGAACTGCCATAGTCAGTGTGTGCTTGTGTACTTGGGGGTGTGTGCTTTGTGTGTGTGTGTGTATACACATATATGCCTCTGTGTCCATGTATATACACACACACATATTTTCTTTAGATATAAAAAGATAAACACTAGGTGCTTTTGAATTTTTTTTCTTTTTCCTTTATAGTTTTGGGAGAGGGGTGGGATCCTTAATTTGGGGATGAAAACAAAATACCCTTTAAACACACATACACACACACACATAAAGCTTGCAACTAGCCCAAATTTTGACAGAATATTAATTCCTGGTCCTCTCCAAAGAGACAATTTGTTGTACCCATGACTGTTGCCTGCAAAAAGTAACTAATAAATAAATAAAAGGGGGGAAAAGAAACAAAAAGGACCTTCTTATAGTTGTCTTTTGTGAACTTTAAGGTTTTGAGAGAATCTTCAATTAAAGCATGGCAGATTCACCTGTAAATATTTAGCCTTGAGAGGCCACTGATGTAAAACAATTGTATTGATGGTTGTTTAACTCTTTTGTTTAAGTTTTACAGTTACATCCAGCTGTTAGATATGCAGGAAAAAAAAAAATAGTTTGCTGGCTAGCTCTATTCATTTATGTTAGCATTAATGCACATTTTTTTTTTTTTAAAGAAAAACATGGTCTTGTTTTTACTACCTGCTAGATATAGTGATAAAGAGGTGCTGGCATGCTTTACAGCACAGATCTGATTTTTTAAATGTCCTGTACTAGTACATAAATCCAGTCATGCACTTTTTTTCATACACTACAAGGGGATGTGTAATATCCATGCTTCTTTTTTACCCTTAAACTATTGCCATACTTCAAGTAAGTGTCTTTTAAAAAAAAAAATTCACTTGTATAAAAATGGTCTGGTCAGTATAGAGCACAAATGCCAAACAGAAGTATTAGTGTTAACTCAAAACTGCCAACTTTGCACAAGTTTCCAGAAAAGAAAATACAATTAGTCACTCAACATAACCACAGGCCAATTTGTCAGCCACCAGAAAACCACTTAAAAAAAAGCACTTGGTGATTCTTTCAAGTACCAAGTGTTATTAGAATCAACATTGCATCCTTCTTGCTTATATGTTAAGTCACATAAAAGGAAAACAAAATTATGTGGTGTGAAACAACCAAGGCATTTATCCTTTAGAGTCAGGATAATATTTCAGGATACAAAAGCCCAAATTACTCACTATGGAGCAAAGTTGAATACAGCAAAAGAGTTGAACACTCATTTCCATGCCCTAACCCTAATCCTTGAAAAAGGAAGACAAGGTCCAGATTGGGTTGTTCTGTTGTATGGCTGTTAATTTGTTGCAAGTTCTGCAGTCCTGCTATGATTCAGGCCTTTGTGATAGACAAAAATCAAAAGACATTTAACAGCAGCAGTACTTGGAATCTTTGAAAACATGTGCTGAACTTGAATTGAGCAACACTCCTTTCTGAAAAGCTAGAAAAGAGGGAGTTTAAAATAGGAACACTCTCTGTTTAGTGTTTTGTGTTTTCCCACAAGGATTTGTCAGAGAGAAATGAAAGCAAGCCTGAAACCAAGCAATTGAGAGTGAGAAAGAGGGGAAGACTGTTCTCCAAACCTTTTTTGTTTTGTTTTGTTTCCGATGTTTACACATGTTGCCTGAGCTGGTTAACCACATGGGCAGCCTCAACTACCACAACATACTGACTAAATGATGATATTTACTCAAGTTCAGTCTGCAGCCAGAACCATGCGGATGTGCATCGCAGGCTGAATCTTGTTGTCTTTTTCTTTTCTTTTTTCTCTTTTTAAATGGAGGGGAGAAAATGAGATAAACAAGGAATATTTTGTCAAACAAGACACCATAATCTGAAGAGAATGTATTTCTTTTTTGCATTGAATGGCCTCAAACATTTCTCTTGTCAGTTGAAAATTTGGAAATACCCTTTTGTTTTAATTTTCATGTTGTTTCCATTTGTCATGCTTTATAATTATTTTTTCTATGTTCACATCAGCATTCACTTCCGTTAAATTTGCCAAAGGAAACTGTTAATATGTTTCTGTTGTTATTCCTATAGGATTTATTGTACCTCACAGTATTTATTGTTTCCAAAAATAAGCATCATTAGCTGAAGATTCAGTATTTTTATTTGTGAAAATTTCAGAAACAATAGATTCTTAAAGATAAGCTAGAGAAGTCTAGAAGCTTTTATCTTTTCATCTTCAGAGGATGCCATGGGGTTCATTTACTTCGTTGTTCTACAGTGAGGAAAGACCAAAAGTATTTGCAGTAAAAAAGAAACTATATCAAAACACTACGTCTGTTAAATGACAAATGTTTACGGTAAAAAGCTGAGGAATTAGTAATAACCGTTTTTGTTTTCTTGTACCTTTGAAATCCCCAAAGTCTTAATTGCTTTATTTTGGTGTTATGTTAAATTGATAGACAGAGATGTTTTCCATTGTTTTATACCATATAAGACTCTGTACAGTATGTTTGTGAAAGATTGAACTAGAATAATGAAAGTTTGTTTGCAAACATTTTGGTCCTCTTAGCGTTCTCTGTATTGCGCTGTTGCCCCATTACCAAATGATTAGATTCAAAACGGTGAGAAAATGTTTTTATAATTCCAACAAACAACTATGGAAACACTAGCTTTCGGAGTGTGCATAGACTAAATTTCATCTAGTTTTATGAAAATAACACACTTCATTTTGATAATTTTTACAAGTTGCACTCCTGGTTGAGATACTAGAATGCATCTTTGACAAAATCACTGTTTAGTCAGTTTAGCTTAACATCTACTAAAAAGTCAAAGCCCTAGTGAGTGAATTACTTAGCTGTCAGCAGGTCACATCAGCAAATGAACCAACTTTAGAACTAATGCCTGTTACTTGCCACAGACAAGGCTAATGAGTGTGGCCAGTCAGAACAAATCTACAAGTAGTGAAAATCTCAAGGTAGAATTTCCTTTGCTCAGAAACATGAGTGTGTTCACCTGTGTATTATCAAAAACAAACAAAAAAAAAGTCATTAAGTCCTGGACATCCTTTTAAATTATCTCCCCTACTTGCTACTGCTTTGTGCCTCTAGTACCCAAATGTTATAGTGGCCTTTGGAATGGGTGAATCGCATTTTCCAATAGAAAGCCTGTTTGCTCAAAAGAAATAAGGGGAGTAGGTGGAAGTGGTTCATAAAATGTGAAATAATGAGATGCACAATTCTAGTCCCAAAGTGTTGCTTGTTTTTGGGTGTGTTCCTGAATGCAGTGTTTGACTTAACTCTAAACCTAGTTAAGACTGTGATCCTAAGGCTTATTTGCAAAAGGGAAGGATAAAGAGATCAAATTTTAATCATTGAGCCCTTCATCTTTGCCCATTCCTTCTCATTTATTTTTTCATATGGCAAAACCATTTCTCCATAGCTGCATCCTGACTGAAAATGAATAGTGATACAGATTTTCATCCAAACAGCCTTTTCCCATTTGAGTGGTCGTAATCAGAGTTCTTCTGTTACAGGTACAAATTAGGCAGGATCACTAGCTGATGTTGAAATTTAACTATTTTGATCATTTTAAACTGTTTCTGTAAGTAGCAGAAATATTTAGTCTGCTTAGGAAATATCTACATGTTATAAAGGGAGGGCAAAGCAAAGTTTAAAAAGGATAATTGGATTTTTAAAGTGTTTAAAAAATGGTATTCATTCCTCTGCTATTGTAATAGTCACTCCAATGTAATGACTTCAGATCTTAATTCAGCTGCTAGTCTCAACCTGGTGCCTTTTAAATGTGTTACTGTTTCCTTCTCAAAGTGACAAACATCTTTTTTGAAAGCATGTTTAGCACCTTGGTACTCACTGTCCTTGTAGTGGGATTTCATGGTTATGAATCAGGCCCTTCCACTAAGAGGAGAAAGGCACTTTACTGGTTAACAGTACCGTTTATGTATACATTTCTCCAAAAAGATTGGAATATATCAAGACTGGGCTGTTCCAGGTGCATTCTCCTTGTTGTACTCAGGAGAAACCCATGCACTAGGTTGCCACCAAATAAGATCTGACCTTTCCCCCCCTTTCTGTGTACACACCCCAGATGTGTGCCAAGCAAATGAGAAGACCCTTAGCAATGGAAGCAAAGAGCCAGTAATCCAACTGAAATTGACATGCTGCTGACTACTAACAGTTAACCTTAGCAGCTCTAACTTATATTGAGTCTGTTAGCACTAGGTTAGATTGACTAGCAGAAAAAATAAAATTCATTTGTAATAAGACATGCCACACCTGCTAACATAAACAAATAGCCCTTTTAAGAAACTTTCTTCCATCCTATGGACGTGCTATTTAAGTTTTTTAAAATTATGACTAATTTTTAAAAACCACTTATGTTCCCCCCAAACTTGAAGTATTTAAATTAAAGGAGTTTGTTGTTCACTCTCATTCCTCATTTCTTGATAGTAGGATTGAAATAAGCAAGGGAGGCAAAACAGCCCAGTGCCAAGAGACTGGCCCAAATGAAGTTTTCCAAAGGCAGGGTAGGATTACTATGCAGAAGATTGCTATCTGCCCTGGGGTGGGGTAACCAGAGAAGAAAACAGTCAATGCACTGGAGGTGTTTGTTCAAGAGCAAGGTCTGGGCCAGGTCTTCCTAGCATTGGGGAGTACGTGTGGATATAGTGCCCTGCAGAGCTCCCCAAGGCCAGGTGCAACCCTGAACCCCAATCTGAAGCAGGAGAAGGAAAATCAGGACAGGTGAATGCAATAGCTGAAGCTCAAACGGGCGAGGAGAACCAGGCAGCTAGGGAAGTTGTGGGGTTATTTTTTGAGTGGAAGAGAGATGGTGTCCTTTATCTGGCAATAAGACCCCCCAAAACTTGAGTTACCTGGATTACAGAAATGGCCAGTGATCAAACAGCCCCAATCAGATGAGTGGAGTGGAATGAACAGTAGCCAGCCCTGATGAGTGTTGTTCTCCATATTACTTTGATGGTCCCTGTCGCTGTGATGGTAGCGCTCCTTGGCTAAAAATTCACAGTCTGAATGTAAGATTCACTTTGCTATGAAGCATAAAAGTAACTTTTCTGTTTTCAT